GAAATGTTGGCGGTATGCGTGAGCTTTTCATAGCATGCTCCTACATGCTTAAATCTTTACAGATGATTTTCATAGTTTGAAAAAAGTTAACTTCCTCAAATACTTTTTTGAATGTTCACGATCTTTAAGATTCATTTTTACATATGGGCGTATCTATTTATGTATTTATTTTCCTTTTTTGTCCTTCTTTCTCATAGGTAACATCACCAACCAATGAAGGTGAGTCACTTTACCGAGCAAGGTGTTTTTTTAGCGTCTGTCTGTCAGAGCAATAGCTTATAAATGATAGACATGACGATCCAGATATTGTGGCCTATGCTTTGGCTACAATCTGCTTTCGCTTATTGAATTGGTTTGGCCCAGTTTTCGCAACTTGGTCGTGTTATCAGAACGAGTTACTTTAATATATCTAGTCCCAACTCCTCTGCTATAGTAGTTATAATCCTTAGCTCAAACCGTTGTAATTATCACAACTACTACTTTAGCCGAGGGATTCAGATACTATGCGCTTAACTAGGTCTCCCTGGCAACATGACCAAGTTAGGAATATTGATAGTGAGATGTAGCCATCTATCTTAGAATGAAAATTGAGATTAATCGATTAGATATAATTATGAATCAATCGATAATTAGGATTAGTAACGCCACTATCCTTTGATATTAAGTTAGATTGAATATTGGTACTGGTGATATCCTTGAACCAACTTGCTTATACTTTCTTTTTCTATTATTACTCCTAGCTCATTATCTGGATTCATCTTTCTTGTATACATATTTGTTAGAATACCATTTGTCATATCTCTCATTCTTTCTACTTTCAAATGATTCTATTTTCCTAGATGTTTCACATTTTGAGAGCCAGATACTAATCAATGCACCGGAAAAAGGCTCCTGTAAATTAGAGAACATGCATTCGCAACCACCTGAGGATGCAGCAAAACTGGGTCTTCTTGATACTTTGGAGTCTCATGCTGAACAGGAAAGTTCAATTGCTCCTGTCTTGGGTCTTGATCAATGTGATGCTAGGAAAGCTGAGTTGATGAAAGGTCAAGGGGCTGGCACAAAGGTGGATATGCTTTCTCTTGTTTTTTACTCTTTTCCGTTATAGCATCTGTTCTCTACATCTGTCAACTTTTTTTGTGTATATACATCCTTTACAATGAGCTAATTTCTTCATTTATTTCTCTAATATATTTAATATAATTATCCGGTGATAAATTAATTTCTGGCGTTTTAATTTGTTCATGCCCTTTGAACATCAGTTTGAGATCTCTTGAACTATTTGCTCAGCAAGTAAACTTTTTATTGAAAATATGAAGACCAAGGTGGTGTGGACTTTTGTGGGGTTGCAGTCTCCTTTCATTGTATAGATGTTATTTGATCTTGTTTTCGCAACTTGGTCATATTTGTAGGAAGACTTAGAGGAACGCAACTAGTCCTGAGTCCATTGTATGCATGATAATTTTCAAAGTCGAACCGTGGACGTAAAAGATTCTCAGACGTTTCGCCGGCATCGTCAGTGAGTCTTTTCATTCTTATCACAATAGTAAAACTCGTCAAACATACAAGTGAATCCGAACCTTTGACCAAATATGCGCTTAACAGTTGTGGTATCTCTCCTTTTGTCCTAGGCTGTTCAACTACCTTATATCTTCGTCTTAAAACTGTTCATTTCATTTATATTATTGTCCCGTCTATATACAATTATATGAGATTCTCTGAGTGTATGCTATGAGCATGCAATCACTATCCTCGGCCTTCTCTAAAACCTTCCCGTCTTAATGGCCTTCTCTCTTGTTCCGGTTTAGTCGGATGAGCCGGAGTTGGAGGCTGCTTACGAGGCCAGACAGCATGTACTTTGTCAACTACGCGAGGAGCTAGATTGGCTAACCAAAGTTAGCAAAATGCTTGATCCAAACACCTATCTGGCGCATATTTCCTCCTTTACATCCCCTGGTGACCCAATATGCACCTCTCCCAGTTCGTCTTTATATCTTAGTGAAATAATTTTGCCAGCCAGCGAAACATCTAGAATGTCACTAGCCTGTCTCCCTGCCCAACCAGATAAACTGCAAGAAGTTGCCAGCCGAGTAGCCGATTTGCGATCAGATTGGCAGAGCCGGCGTGGTCGTGTAGCTAGTCTGTCCGAAGCTGCAAGTCGTCTACTTCGACAAATGAGTTCCACTAGCTCTGGGCTATTAGCAAACAAGATGCCAACAGCCATCAACCATCATTTGGTTCGTTTATGTTTCTCTTATTTCGCTTTTCTTTGACTCATCATCTAATTCCTTCGCATGCACTATAGACCCCAAGAAAAAGCCGATCACATTTTAAAAATTAGTTTTTAGTACCTTATCAAAGGGAATCTAAATTGACT